AGCCGTCAGAGATTGGCGGTAAACTCTGCCCCCAGCCTCGCACCTGGCATCGGTCGCCGCGGGGGCACATGTGCGCGACACGCTGCTGCCAGACAGGGCTCGGCCTGCCCGCCCCGTTGGGTCCCTGACCCCGGGAGCCCCTGGAGAGTGAGCGACCGGAGCGAAAGCACTTGCCTTCGAACCGAGCTGGGCCTGAGCCGGGTGTCCGCCACTGCTGCCACGAGGCCTCTGTAGTTGCAGCGGCTCAAAGCTCATGGCGAGATTTGGACCTGGAGTCCTTTTTCCTCTGCAGGTTTTTAGGCAGCAACGTGTTTGGGGTTTATGAGGACATGGCCTTTATGAGGAGAGCCTTTTGTGAGGTGTATGGGCTTTCTGAGAACAGCAAGTTTATGACATGTATGGGCTTTATGCAGAGAGATCTTTTATGATGAGACCTGTTTTATGAGGTGTATGGCCCTTATGAGGACAGTGCCCGGACTGCTGGACCGTGGGGCTCAGGGCGGGTGAGGGACAGGGCTGCTCCGGTAATACGGGCCGTGCTAGAGCCGGGCGAGCAGCAGCGAGAGCCGGGGACTTGGTCAGGCCGAGGCGCAGCCCTTATCACAGGCGCAGCCACTGCTCGTCGTTCCCGGCTCTGTAGGAGCCGCGGGGACAGCGCGGAGCCGCAGCGGGTGCCTGGCGGCGGAACGGCTCCACACCGGAGCAGCTCCACCCCGCAGGGCCTTGGTGCCGGCTCAGGTCCTGCGACTTCGTCGGGCGGGCGGGGAGCTTAAGATCTCCCTTCTCTGAAGCCGCCCGGCCGGGCTCTCCGCCGGCGGAGGGTATGCGAAGCCCGAGCCTGTCTGCCGCGCTGCCCTCAAAAATCTATTTAGGGAAGATGAAGGCGCATGCAAATGCGTGGCGCCTCCTCGCCTGTGCCTTTAATCATGGTAAATTGGCTCCCATTCCTCCAGGCCCCCCGAAAAGGCGCACGGGGCGGCACCGCATCGTGGCGGGGCTGGGACTCCCAGCGCCGCGCGGCACCCGCTGCTCCCCGGGGCTTTCCGGCTTTTCGGCGCGGCCCCGGCGCCCTGCCTGATCCGCCTCTCTCAGCAATTTCCTACCCAAATGCTGCCGTGAAGGGAACAGAGCGCAGAGATAGCATCGGGCGGCCTATATCAAAGAGATCCTGCTTAATTAAAATACCGGCTCGGTGCTCACCGCTTTTCACGCGGCGTGGCCCT